CGTATTATTCATAATGATTTAAACTATATTTTATGTATTGATATAGCCTATCCCAGTGTTCGCCAGTCATTTAGAACCGATCGATAATGGTTGTATGACAGTTAAATTGAAGGTAATTAAAAATGTTTAACGATGCATTATTTTATCTTACCTCCATCTACTTTACAAAGTTCGTCGGTCGATTCTGCTAACGTTGATCATCAATTAAATAGTTTTGATAACATTTTATACCCAATGCAAATAATAAATCAATGGACAGAATGAAATGTTTGTTTTCTATAAGGTTGAATGATGCAGTAAGTGTGGCGTCTATCCATCGTTGTTCGCTGCATTACGTTGCAGATTCGTTGTGGCTAACCATTTTCATGACTATTGATTGATATTTATTATTTGCGACCGGATAGACAGTTTGTTCAGTATCCACGGCGGGTGATATTGATAATTAAGATAAACGGAACATAGATCGAGTAAACCATATCTTTAAATCAGTTGATTAAACAAAATAGTGAAAACAAGAAATCTTGCCAACGGATGTGTTCCCATTAAGTCGATTTTCCAGCGGACATGATTAAAATTGAAGTGGTGGCATTGATGGAAAAATGTAACGTTGCCTCAGAAGTGCTTGCTTCATCGCGTCCATATTGAGGAAATCGCACTACTTAATCAACAATTGCACAAAATGTGTCACGTGTTCTTCTCATTGCCGGATAGTGACCAATAAGACTTCCAGTAAAATGATTAGGCTGTTGAAAACTAATACACCGTATAACGCATCGCGACGGATATTAAATCCGGGGCTTTCATCGTGTTGCTGACGCGGTGTATGTTTTGTTTTCTTCGGACCTTGATCTTCTTTCGAGAGTAGTAAGGCATTACTTACACCACTATCAATATGTATTGGTTTTCCATACGCCAGAATGCATGTTTGTCGGTAAATAGCCTTTTTCAGGTTGGCGTAGTCCTCTGGTAGGATATTAAAATGAATCCTATATATCATGCATGCATGAAAACCTAAGGTAACTCACCGATGCTGGTTTAAAAGTCAAAATTAGGCCGAGATGCGTAAAGTTTCGCTTATCTGTAAACAGTGCTGTGTTTTTGTTTGTTTTTTTTTGCTTTTTTTGTCAATTTTTCCCACATTATTTTTCCATGCTTTGCTTCGCATATTTACAATACTATGTGACATATGTTTAGTAGCAATACTATAACAGTTTATTTACCGCATTCTCTACAGAATTGATTTCTCTAAATGCATATGGGTAATGATTTGTAACAGGATAAACGTCTTGGGATTTGCTTGTCGAAAACCCCTGGATAATGAATACATGAAACAGAAATCTTAACAACGAGTTAAACTCGTCAATACAATGGTAAGACAGAACACTAGGGGTGACACAGAACGTAAACATACAATCGAATTATATGTACATACTTCTACACAATGTATTACCAATAGAATATTTTTACTAATCCTGATTGAGAGCTATGTGGATTAAGAAATTACATTGTTCATCTATTTATAAACTGCGCAAAATTGAAGAATGTGTATCGCGTACTATGCTACACCCCGTCAATATTAACATTGCGAATAGTCGCATACACTTGCTTTTTCAATCCTGGCTATTATACAAAGATTAAAAAACGTGAAAAAAAGAAGCCTCTTAAAAACGTTCATGGCTGATTTTCCCCAGAGAATGTAACTAAGTTTTGAACACTATATAGAGTGCTAAAGTTCGTAATATTAATGCGTGTTAAGACGCACAATTTGACAAGGTACGAATCAAAAAACAACTTTTAACTTGTTGCGGATTCTGTACAAACTACGACGCCACAGACATTCGTGCGTACCAGGAAAAAAGTATGAGGAATTGTATTGTTCTTTTAATTTGCCATGTATGGATTTATTTTATCAACGTCTATTGTGATTATCCGGCACAATTGATTTTTTCTATTTTTGGGAGCGAAGTTTTGGATTTTGACTAACTGATTTAAGTTTTACAAACTTAAATTAAACCAGATCAATCATATTGTATGTATAATTTGTACACTTGTCAATACATTCACATTTACATTTATTGTCAAGTTCAATTATGACAAAGAATAATATATATCCAGTATATTACTGGATAGTTTTTGCTTTAGATAAACCAGGGTTATCCAGATAATCATCTTATTCATATTCCGTATTTATTGATTGTATCTTTGCACTGAAAAAAATATATATTGATCCGCTCCTGATACAATATTACATGTTTTTTTTTTTATTTACTTGCGGTGTTCGTTTATAGCAAATAATATATATATATTATTTGTTTTGTTTTATTACATATTACCTTGGATATATAGAGCCCATATTTCTATTCCAACAAGTGAATTTTGTTTAATGTGAATATTAAATAATTTTTCACCGGAATGTCTATAATTCCAAGTGTATTTATAATGTTAATTAATCTGACTGCTCAAATTGCCAAATATGACAATGTGTCACTGAAGCGTCCATTTTAATTAATAATAATTTCTAGATAAGTAACGTTTAACTATTTCGATATGATTCTTTCCGTAATTGGATTGTTAATGTTTCCAGTGAGTTAAATATTAAAGTACATTTGGAACAGATAAAGATTAGTTCCCATTACAATAGTCCCATTATAATATTGTCAACTTCGATATATTTCACTTAACATTGTGTGAACAATGTTGAACCATGTATAAGATTATAATGAACTGGGCGTTATTACTGTTTGCAAACACAGGGTAATCGCCAACATTAATTACAGATTACAAAATTGTCTAATTCACCGAGGGCTTTTTCAATACCTGTTCTGAAAAGTCAGCTATTGTTTACCAGCAATTAGAGCGAGGTGTATTCTGCATTCTTGAAAATAAATGTCCTTGAAATTGCCCAGTAAATTGCTGCCCTCATTATATTCAGGCGAAATACACCAAAATCATTATAATTTAGAATTTTACAGAATAATGATGCAACATGACAAGGGCATCATTCATATACGTAATTGGGCGTTCGGTTCAAGTGCAAAATACGGTTTTCTTTTTTGCTTAATTGGGAATTGTATAAATCAAATTTATTGAATTTTTAGTCTGTGATTGTTTTTTTGAAATGGAGTACATATGTATGTCTTAATAAAACTTGCAGGTAATGTTCTAGTAAGCAACTGCATGATAACAAAACTATCATATATTTAGTGACAAAGGAGATCATATTCGTAGATAATGTTCTACACTATTTATTCCATGACCACACGTATATACTGGGTTGCTTGTTACAGTAGGAGAACTAGTGGACAAATTACATTATAACAAACATTGCGTGTATAAATATTATTTAATTGATCCCATGTTCTGGAGCATTGTATTGTGTCATTTAAGTGTCAATACAAATTAAGTATATTCGCCATTTGGAACTGTATTATATAATACAGGTGATAAAAATGAAAACATTCGCAATATAGTTGTGCACTATACTTTGTAATGAAACAGTACACTACATGTTATATTGTCATATTGAGAAAACACATAACGTTGCACAGAGACTGTATGATTGTGTGTTCAGAATTTATATACACACAAAAACTCACAGAATGTGAAACACATTACAGTGCATCACAACGTTATACACGTGTGTATGCTCAAGTCAATAGACTCGCACAAGGTTTGTGGTATATCGTGGTTACATATGCCAGTAATGGTGAAAACAGGTACTTATATATGTTAGCGTGATTTCCTTCTTTGCTTGACATCAATTAACAAGTCTGACCTTTTAATTGTTCTATTACGTGAGTGTCACTGGTTGCACATGTGGGGCGTAATTTGCTTAAGACAATCATCCTAATACTTCACTGCCACTGAGAGTTTTGAATCTTTTCAATACAATATGTGATTTCATGTAACAAAGATGACAAAAATGAAATAAAAATACAGGGTCATTAAACTCGGTTAACAAAATCCACTTACAAATAAATTGAAAATAGCATGTTTTGTCTGTGCGATGGCAAAGATACATGTATATCTCAATATCTCTAAATGTTGGTCGGTGACATAGGGTGAAAACAAACAATAAGTAGTGTCGTACAATATAAAATGACATTATTTTAGTGGTTTAGAGAACAAATTGCGTTTTCCTTGTGGTCTATGAAAATCGGTGATAAATTGCCATGTTATAAATATTATTTGACAGTTTTCCTCCCCAAAAAATTGACAGTGAATTAAAAAATAAATAAAACAATTAACTATAGACTTTGTGACAACATAATGGCATTGTTATATATCAAAAACTTACGAGTCGCATTTTACCTTAACCTTGCCTTATATCTTGAAATAAGGTGTAAAAAAAACATTAATTTGCCGTCGAACAACAAGACACACAACGAGACATGTGAGAGAAGAGATTTTCTTCTTTCTTTTTTTTCCACATTACGACGAGCTTGTGCTTACTAAAATAGTTTATAAACATAATCCACTGTCAATGGAACGTAATTTGAGCTTTATTTCATAATGTAACGTCGTAGGTCGTCTAAGCAGCTAAATGTCATATCAAAATACCATCAGAAGTAGCGCCTTGTTTAATGAATATTAGCACCACTTTCTAAACATACAGTATTCTATTCCAAATGCACAGTTCAGTTCGGAAACATAACCGAATACAAACACCATGCATTAGTATCCATAAGTGTAATTTAAACTATTTTTTTGTCATTGTCAACGGGGGAGTGTTATACTCGCCAACTCCCTGTACTCCATCGGCTGTCGCACTTACTTATCATTTATTTCAAGGTTCCATGTTATTGCAAAATTTAACGACGAGAACAGTGAAGCGCCCACTAGTATATCAGACGAGTTTGTCGATATCTTATATTGTTCTTTTAAAAAATCCACGTTTGTAAAGCTGGGAAAAGGTTCACGTTAAAATGATCAATGCTGAAGACATTACCACAATACAATACCGACACCGCTTATTCTCATTCCATGTATGCGAGCACGTGTCAATTGTAATATCCATGTAGATAATAAGGCCAGTAAATAACATTGAACAATGTAAATATAAACGGGAAGAAGAATCGCGAGTATTTGTCTATTGTTTTGGAAATCCTTTTAAAATCGCTAGGCTGTGTCGTTTTAATATGCACCGATGTCGGCTTCCCTTCCAGATTGGCCAATTTTTCACCAGTCCGTCTCCGTAGGCTTGCTCTTTCCTGTAGCTCAATCCAGCTGTTTCCGTTAGACACGTCGTCCTGAAACGGAAACAACGTATTTATAATAAACGTACCGTACTATTGGTATTGTTGTTTGTATGTCATGTGTTTAAATTATTGTCAAGAAGTAATGTTGTTTATCAAACATTGACTAAAACACTGTGACACGTGATTACCACGTGTATTTCATCCTGTCCAATGACGTGTAGATATTATTATGTCCAGTAATCACTCTGCATATTTAATGTGTAACGCAGGGGAATGTTGACACGCGGCACTTTGCGATTTAATATGAAAAGAAGGGCATCTCCCCATATGTGGTATATCATAAACGCACTAAGTATATATTTAAAGATACCTGGATAACCTACTAGGAGTCGATCTAATTAACACCATATGTTGTTACACTGGTGAGGATAATTTAGTTGCCAGTGTCAATATTTAAATTAACATTTAACATGCAGTCAGAAATGTAATATTGGAAATATAAATATGTGTTTTCACGATATGCCTTCACATGATGCAATTTAGTTTATATTACATTATGAATTCAAGCCTGCACTGCTAGTTATTCAATGAAGCATATATAAATCAGCGAATCCAGCTGGAACTTACATCCGGAAAAGTGTCATTCATCTTTCATTGGTTAAAACGGATATTACTCATATTTCAGCCAGGAATGTCATTTCTGTATATTATTGGATAACCACATGGTGCGACATGCTAGGCAAAACGTAGGTCAACCATTCCCCACAGAAGTGCCAAGTAGGTTTACATACACTAAACCGACAGTTATTTGTTTAGGTTTATGTGAGTGTGTATATATTTATTTATTATTTTAAGATAAATTCTGGAAGAAACCGACTGACGTATTGCTTATCATTGACGGAATAACATGTGTATAATCTGCCGTTTCTGCGACTATTATAACATCCAAGAAAGAGAAGGATTAACACTGTTTGGACTGTTCACTAACTTTCTTCAATACATTACTTATTAATATTAAGTAATAATCTGTTCATGTCTGGCATATAATTACGAATATCTCATTAACATTTTGTTTGTACATTATTACTTAGACGCAGATTAGAAGGTCAGGCCAAATCACAGGTGTTCAAATATACAAATGACGACACATGTGAAATCTAAGTTAAACTATGCAAGGACCCGTGTATGAAGCAAATTAACAGATGGCAAATAGCTAAGTTATACAATAAATTGTTCGGTATGCCATGTGTAGTTTTTTCGAATGGTGGCGGCGTCAACAATATACATTACCACGGTTCGAGAAGCATGCACATAGTGTTTCATAGATGTTTCAGTGTTTTTGTATATCCATTGTATTTTTTATTCTCAACAGTGAAATCAGCACATTTTCTTAAAATTAGCGTGCTTCACAATCCAAAATTAAAAAATAGGACATAGGAGAATATGTGACTGAAATACCAAATTTCGTTAATAACCTTTTCCTTTCATATTTCAAATGGCTAACCCCTAAGCAAAAACATTATATAGAAAACGTAATTTCGTTTAAACAAAATATACAATGATCAATGCGCTATCTGGACGTGGACCTAAACATGCTATTTATTAAACATATATGCACACTCATCTCAAGTCAATATAATTGTTCTTATATTTGACAATATTTGCTTCAGTATATGCTATACGATTATGAATTGACAAATATTGATATTCAAGTGTGGGAGAAAGAATATTGTATTTCATTTTGCAGTGTAGTTATAATCAAAATCGGGCTTTCTGACGTCGGGAAATCTCCACTTTGAAACAACTCGTCACTTCTTATGAACTTGTGTTATTTGACTTAAAGTTTTAATACTACCTGTTTAATAATAGTAATAATATAATATATTATAATCCTATTCATTAACATGGTCCAATTATGCACTTTGGCCAAAGGTACATGTGTACGAAATGTGATCAACATCCCCCCAAAAGAGTTCGCAAATGTGTATGCTCGTGTGATAAGTTAGTGGCAGAAACATATCCACCAATTAGAAAACGAGTCCGTATTAACTACGGTCACTTGATATGGAGAAAAAACATAAATTCAATCTTGAATTCAATTCATTCATTGCTGATGTACAAATGTTTATAATCGTAAGTGTTTGTAAACGTAAGCTACAGTGACATATGGCACGAATAATAAACAGTGCATATAATAGACGTGAATTTTATCATTTGTATACTGAATAGTGTACACACATAACATTACAAAATATATTTAATGAATGCAGTGTTGTACTTTATAAGGATTATCTGGTTGCGCACAGATGTTTCAAACACATTATTTATTTAAATACTGTATACGACAGACGGCCTCCCAGGGGCACACCATTTGAAAAATTCGTGTTGAACGTGTGGCAAAATAATTATATAGATATATTAGTATATAATTGGGTCACGCGTCTCGCCCTATCCTGTGGTTCAAATGTAATATGTTGAAACATTGGCCACTGAATGCTACACAAGGTCATCGTGTGAAAAAATTAATCCCACAGATAATGAAAGTTATATGTCGCACATACATGAATCGCTTGATTTGGTCAGGTTTAATGTATTACTAGTATACATGCTAGATTCAAACAATCCCAGTTGTACAACTGCTTATACTATCAGGTTATTACGAGGATACCTCAAATTATGCACGAAGACAGTACAGCGGGAGTATCGACCGACGCGCAGCAGAGGTCGATGTAGCCGTG